CTGTTTCCTCCCTCACTGTGTGATCTTCTTAGTGCTAGATGTGCGGAGGGTTCCCAGGCATTTGTACAGTAGTGAATTCATTACAGGTTTGTTTATGATGTGAAAAGGTAAGTGCTATTGGCTCCTACATTTTCGCTATGAATTTTCCATTAGACTTTCCCAGGAGAAAAGGAACACAACTCTCTGGGAGAGCATTTAGTTTTACTTCCAACATCAGCCAGATGTGAGTCACCTGGAATGTGCTTTCCATCTGCTGAGAGTCCCCTGATGTTTCTGCATAGCTCTTACCCTCTATATTAATCTTTAGCTTTTGATTTGTGATACAGTGTTCATTATGTCTTCAGGAAAGGAATTGCTCGGGTGAGGTAAAGTGACTGTCAGGATTGAGGGGAATAGTGTTTGCTTTTATCCCATCTGCTATACACAGATCATATAAATCCACAAGGGATATATTATAAACTGGATCACAATCAAGTCATTGGTTTCAGGAACAAAAGGCCAAGTCTGAGACCAACGTGCATCTCTTGTCCTTCTCTATATGCATTGTACTGACGGCTCCTCAGCTCCTGAACACTTAGATACACAGAATCCTTTCTAGCTGGTTCTCTAAGCCCTGTTAGCCTTTGTCAGGGCTGAAGAAACTGCTATTTCTCCACAGATGATAGCAGAAAATTGTTATGTTCTTAAGGATTTTTAAAAAAAGCATCATGGTGGTATAAGTATATGCAAAGTCCACTGTCCTGCTGAGATGTCCCACGGGCTCTGACCTAGCGAGCTAGAAAATCTTGAGTTCCATAACGTTTTGAAGAAAAAAATATCAGCATTCTATTTTTCTTTATTGTTTTTAAATAACAGCAACCCCGGGAAAAGTTTAGAGACCATCAAATATTGTTTGTTCCCTGAGTTTGGAGCAGTATTGTTTGGCATTGAGGAAATAAATGATGTTGTATTGTCCCTAATTCCAAGCACAGTTAGTGTAGTTAGAAATTATTTTTACATTTAAAAAGGCATCATAGTGTAACTCCCAGGGCAGGCTGGGTTTTTGTGCCACTTCTCCTTGCATGGGTGTCACTGTGAGAAGCACTGTTGTGCCAGATGGCACAGTAATAGTCGGCTTCATCCTCAGGCTGCAGCCCAGAAATATGCAAAACTCCTGCATTGGCCGAGGTGTCCTTGGAACCAGAGAAGCGGCTGGGGATGCCAGAGCCCTGGTACTTATCTGAGTCTGATTTGTAGTATAGGAAAAACCTGGGAGGGCTCCCTAGCTTCTGCTGGAACCAATATATATAGTACCCACCAACACTGATACCACTACTCAAGGTACAAGTGAGTCTGGCAGATGCTCCAGGAGCTGCAGACAGGGAGGGTTCCTGAGTCACCAGAACCTGAGCAAGGGAAACTGCAAATACAGAGCAGGATGGATTATGAAACAGTGGCAGCACTAAAGTGTCATAGCAGTCACAGCCGAAGACACCTACTGAGCTTTTAAAAATGCATCTTCTCTGCAAGGCCTGTTCTTACCTGAGCCATGAGAGAGGAACAGGAGGAGAAGAGGAGTCCAGGCCATGGTGGAAGCAGCCCCCTGATCCCAACAGTGGCTGGAGTGGCCCAGGGCTCCTTTACTTGCTCAGCCCCTGTAGGAGGAGCTGTTCATGCAAATGTGTTTCCAACCTGTCTGTCCCAACCCTTCCCTGAGACCTGGTGCTACAGCTCAGCTCACACTGTTAAAAAAGGAGGAGGAGAATTAGCTAATTTCTGCATGAAAATCAAGGGAGGCAGCATTTCTGAAAGAAGACCAAACACTTGCTTGAGATGCTCTGCAAGGCCACAGGTGACACCTCAGCGGACCCTCCAGTGAGCATGGCTCCGAACGCTCTGGCCAGTGTCCTTTTGTGAATAAGCTCTTTCTGTATCGCTGTGCAGCCCCACAGGGCAGCCCCACAGCAGCCCTTGCTGCTCACAAGACACACATTTTCCCCTGGCTCAGAGACCAGAGTATATAATATCTGTCCCAAGTATGAAAGGACTTCAAGGTGATACATTTTAGGATTGCATATTGTCTCTCAAAATATGACAATATGGTAATCATATTCTTTTATTGATAAGTGAATCTCTGATGAAAGTATTTCAATGTTCAGTGAAAAAATTCGAAAGTCAGGCTGGTGAAATATCTCAGCGGAATAAGCGCCTACTTAGGGAAGCATAAGAACTGGGGTTTGATCCTTGGCACTACATGCCATTGAGCCCTTTCCTTCAGCTCCTGATTCTGCCTCCAAGAATGGGCATGTTGGTGCACACCTCTCATCTCACTGCTGAGGAGGATGAAAGCATGACCACCACTGGAGTCGGAATTGCATAGCGAGAACCTGTACCAAATACATACAATAAATAAAAATAGACTCCAATGTCTCTCATGTAAATTTATTTGAGTTTGACCTTGTCCATTTCCACTTATTTCCCTGCTACAGCACCTGATGATGTGAAGGAAGAGCCATGGAGCGAAAGGTTTGCAAGCACCATGTCAGGCACACGTCTATTCTACAAGTGTACACACATTCTCTGGTAATAATTATTTCTCCATGCCACTTCATCCAGTATAGCATTGTCTCATAAATGGACACAAAGCTCTGAAAAATTTACACTTTTCCCTAGAGTCTTTGGTGGGATTGTGTATTCACTGTCAGACTCACAATGTTCCTCTACATCTTGAGCTCTGCTTTCACCATCTGTTGGTGAATAACTTACTAGCTCTTAGTTAATTTGAATGTTCCCAGGTATTTGTACAGCTCAGCCTGCTCTACAGCGCATTCACTCCTGGAGCCTATCTTCCGTGTTTAGCAATTGCTACCTCAACCACATCCTTCCAGAGGCTTTTCCTTAGTGCCTGGAAGCCCTCCTCATCTTCGTACACCTTCTTCACATGAACTCATGATATCTAGTCCATCCTTCTGGACACCAGGCTCAGGGCTCAAGTCCATGTATCTCTCGGTCCTCTAGAGCTGAGGTCCAGTTACTTAGCATCTACACTTGAATCAACTCAGCAAGGTCAGCTCAAGAGAAAGCAGCAGGGATGACCTTTGCTTTAGATCTCTACTTCTAGGATTCCTATTCATATAACTCACATATTTGTGTTTCATTTCTATGTGCAGTTTCTCTATTCTTTCAGGCTGTGCTGTGGAATCTGAATATAGAAGTGTGAACAGAACTAACAACAGTGAAACCACAGCAAAGAAATCAACATTTTTCTATTCTTAAAATTTTTGCTTCCTAGTGGAATAAATCCGCCATAATGAATCACAGAGCCATGATGTCTCATAGGTGACATAACACTGAGCATGCTCCCCCTGCTCACCTGGAGCCCACTACTTTCTGCTGAGACTTTGAGGAAGTTAGGTATATTGATACTAATCGTATTCTTGCTCTGCCCGGAGCCCACAGTGCTTTTCTTCCCTGTCCTGTGCCAACAACCTCAGTACAGGTGTTGGTTCCTGTGTAACTGGGCCATGCAGTGTGTCTTTGCCTTGCTAGACCTTGCTTTATTTCAGTTTGGTCCTAGTATTCAGATTCATGTGTCTGTGAAGGGCAATGAAACTGTCTTTAGATGTTCATTCACAGATTTGGTGGATACTTCTCTACTCCCCTGTATGAGAAACTGTTCTTTTTCTTTTCCACACCCTGAGACCAAGACACAAGCAAGTGGCTGTAGGTGGCTGCAGTCCAATCACCTCCTCAGTGAATATGGACATTGTGGATCAAGATTGCAGTTTATAATCTCCAGGAAAATACTGAGCTTCTTGATTTGAGTGACAGCCATTCAATTCTTATGGAGTCCAAAGATAACTGTGGAGCCGGTGTTAACAATGCTTCTATGAGTGCCCTGTGAAAGGCTTTCAACAAAGATGATAAAACCCCATGATGTGAGCTATGACAGCCAGAAATTAACAAATGGAGTTTCCTGGGTGATAAGAGCTTTGGAAACATGTAACTCCATGTAGATATTTTCTGCGTACTAGACCTGGCAGGACTTAAGAAAGAAAGACCGCTCTGAAATATGTGGAGAATTACACATTACCATACACTGCACTGGCTCTCTAGGCACAGGCTCAGGCGGCTTCTGTTAAACTGAGGGTCAGGAGCACACAAGAGATTTGGTACAGTTTATATCAGCTGAAAGATCTGCTCAGGTTGTCATCTGCATGTGTCACTGGTGGTTACTCAGTGTCTTTCTGTGTTGCTCTATTCTGCCCACAGCGCTGGCCAGACTCTTTATTTCTGGATGTCCCTCAATGCTCGTGTCCTGATTTAGTCCTGAGTGGAATGCTGAGATGTCATCAGAGACCACCTCCTGTCTACTGAACACATGATTACTACCCAACACCTCATGAGCAGAATGCAGACTCTCTATAAAGGCATTCAAAGCTGTGAAGCTGGAAACATCTGTGTGTGTGTGTGTGTGTGTGTGTGTGTGTGTGTGTGTGTCTGTTTAAGTCTGTGGAATTTGTGATACTATAGGGACTTTCATGTGGTGCCCTTTCATTGGATACAGGATGACCCAGGCACAACATAATGGCCACTTTAAACCTGAAAAGCAAGAGCCTTAGAAAGGGGTTTCATAGGTAACCTCACCTATTTGGCCTAAAATATTTTGGAAATATGTTCATCCATTCCATTAAAAGCTTATTTATTTTCTTTACCAACAAATCATATTTTAGAATTACAATATTTTAAGAAATTGTGGGTGTGACAGAACAAAGATGAACCAAAGAAAGGACTCTTGCTATGGATAACATTAGACAACTTGACTGCATATTGGTGGTATAGTGTTCAGAAAAATGCAAATATTTTAGTTAAGAATTTCAAAATCTTGCTCCTACTCATCTTTATGTCTTCTATCTTACTTCACTTATATTCACCTGCTAGTCCTGTCTTGACACATTCTTTTTATATGTATTTAGTGCAGGGTCTACAAGATCTCACTTACACAGATGGGATTCCTAGTGATCCTCCTTATTTCAGCTTCCCAAACACTGGGATTACAGGCATGCATCACCATGCCTTGTCTCAGCTGCCAACTCAGTGCATGCTGGGTTGGGGCCTGCATGCCATGCCAGGGGAATAAAGCCCAGGCAGCCAGGTCTGCCAAAACAGGAGCTGTAGTCCTCTGAGCTATCTGACCGGCCCATGTCTTGATATATTGTAAACCCTGGTGAACTCTTCACTTTCTCCTCTTTCTCCCATGTGCTTTGCTGGCCCCAGGTTGCTGCCATATGTACCAAGCCTATTGTCTTCTACTTCACTTTGCAGCTTGAGCTTCAGGGATTACAGGGGAGACTGACTAGCCATGTACCCTACCTTCTTCCTGAGCTTGTGTTCTCCTCAGCGACTCAGATGCTGGTGCTGGACACAGGGATCCATGGGCAGCACTGGACAGTGTTGGCTGTAAGGAAGGGGGCACCTTGGGTGTGATACCTGTAGGGCAGACTCCATGCTCCTGAGACCACTGTGCTTGTGCGATGGCCCGTGGACTCTGACCAGGAGAGCAAGAAAAACCCAGACTCAATTTTAATCAAAATTAAAATAGTAGACCCACATTTTGGCATATAATTTTTCTTCACTGAACCACAAATCAAAATTTAGAGGATGTTACAGATTATCTTTTTTCATGAGATTTGAATAATGTCTGCTAATTTGAGATGAAGAATGTAGTTTGCATTATAGATAAGTTCAGACATACCTACTGCAGATGGAAGTTATTTTCACATTTCACAAGGGGGTCTTAGAAATTTTAGGCAGGCTGGTGATTTTGTGCCACTTCTCCATCCAAAGGCGTCATTGTGTGCCAGACTATAATGGTACACAGCATCAGTAATGGTCAGCTGCATCTTCAGGCTGTGGCCTACAAGTGTGCAAAACTCCTGCATTGCCTGAGGTGTCTTTGACTCATAAGAGCAACTGGGGACACCAGAACTTTTTCATCTCTGAGTCTGAGAAGCAATATAGTAGAAACCTGGGAGGGATCCCTGGCTGTTGGTACCAGAGTACATTGTATCTGCCAACACTGATGTCGCTTTTCAGGGTGCAGGTCATTCCACAAATAGAAAGAAGTGAACCCCAAAGTTCACCATGTATCCTCTTAACATGTTTGAAATCAACATAACATGGAAGACTATCAGATGCCACTCGACACTGGCTAAGAAGCCAGCCAAGAGGAAATATGTGATTGTTTTCATAATGTTATAAAAGAAAAACTCATTTTACTACTCACAGAGAGAAGGTTAGCTATTCCCTGGGATGAAGCTGCGAGTGCAGATGGAGGACTGTGAAGGACACAAGGATTCTTGGGGTGGGTGTTGGATTCCCTGGCCTGATGTTTCCAAGGGGATAAAAATGTTTCAGAAATTTTTAAACTTTTTGCTGTAACTATGGCTAGTTTTCTAATGTATCTAGTACTCAGAGTAAGAAAACTAAAATGGTCAAAAAATAGTCTGCAACATGAGGAGTGACATGTGGTCCAAGGAGAACATGATGGCTCTGGAATTGTTGCAAATAGGAAAAGGATGGATGATGGAGACACAGGATTCCCTGTCAGAGGTCACTTATGGGACCCGAGAGGTTGGCTAGCCAGCCCTGAGGTTCAGGATGTTGAGGATACAGGACTCTCTCTTTTTTATGCTAAAGATGGGCAGGCCCTAGTGTTTACATGGAACACTTTCCTAGGAACAACCTACCAGTCAGTTACTTAGAGGGCAGAGGGGAAGAGGAACCTCTGTCCAAATATGGCCTTTGGATTCACCTGAGACTAGACTGGCAGGCAAAATGGAAACCACAGGCTAGACCTCAGCCACAGGCCCTGGGTATTCACCCACCTGGCAAAAGAAGAAGCTTTTGTGTGAGCTTCCCCATGAGGCTGGAGCACTGTGCGAGCACTGAGGCTGCTATCATAAGACTGGCAGTAATAATCAGCCTCGTCCTCAGATTGGAGCCCACTGATGGTCAGGGAGGCTGAGCTGCCAGACTTGGAGCCAGAGAACCGAGCAGAGACCCCGGATGGTCGATCGATATTGTTATAGATAATAAGTTTAGGAGCAGTTCCGGAGAGCTGCTGGAACCAATGGACATAATGTCTCCCAAGATTGTTGCTGTTTCCAGAGCAGGAGATGGTGACTGTCTCTCCTGGAGACCTAGACACTGAGGGAGGCTGAGTCAGCACAGTCTGGGCCCAGGAACCTGCAAGTGGGAGAGACACAGAGATATAGATCAAGGTCTAGGACCAAAAGTGAATGCAGGTACCCCCATGGCCTAAGCTCTGTCTCTGCCTGCTGCCTTCTCACCTGTGCAGTGAGCTAGGAGGATGAAGAGGAGAGGGCACCAGGCCATGGTGGAGGTCATCTGTGAGCCCACAGTAGAGCAGAACATTCCTCAAGTCCCTGGATTGCCCTCTTCATATCTGAGAAGGGCAGGCCACAGCCATGCAAATTAGCATTCTACCAGGTTTGTAACCCTACCCTGTGCTCTGGCTCAGTTCACTGTGACAGAAAGATCTCACTGGGTGAGGCAGGATGGGGATGGATAGGGTTTGGGGATGGGAGAGTTTAAGTTGTAAGAATTGATCAGAAGACCTATGTATGGGGGCTGGTGCTTTACAACTAACTCTGATCATCCTTAGGTCACTCAAAAATGAGCTTCAAGTTCCCCCTAAAGTCCGGGCTCTAAAATTCCATGCTGTAACTTTGTGAGTACAGTCCATCAGGGACAGACTTCCCACTCGCCCCCCACCTCCTCTTGGTCATCATCTCTCAGGCCCTTCTCTGACCCCCCACTGCCTCAGGAAGCTGGATGTGCTGATGCTACAAGATACGTCTGGCTTCCCATTCTGACATGGGTGGATGACATCATTCATTCTTTCCATTTGATTTTCTAAAAGAGATATTTGTACATGTGAATGAATTTTCTATTTTATAACACTAAGCACAATGATTTAAGATTTTCTCAATAGTTAAGTCTGTTGTGATTTTAACAGTAATTGAGTATAAATTGTGTTGAAGTCAAAAGTAATGAAACAGCCTGTGACTGTAAGCTGCTTTTAATGTGATTAAAACTTGTCAGTAACAAAACAGGAGTCTTGGTACCATTAGTTATTAGAGTACTACCAAGTCTACAGTGAGCTACATCATTCTCACTGGTGTGGCCATAAGCACAGTGATAGGTGATAACAACTGCTGGGAACAGTGTGCGGCAGGATAGAAAACCTGGAACAAAGTCTATAGAAAAGGAAATTTGCACTAAGGTACATGATTTCCTTTAATAAGCTGAACTTGTGACTGAGAAATCCATCATAGCTTTTTGCCCAAGAATTATGATGCTACATCCATCAGAACATGTGAAACCATCATGTATGTTAGGATATGCACCTAGCTGTCCCTCCAGGGCCTTGTGCGCTCATACATGAGGGTTTGGGGAAGTGATTTATGATGGGGAGCATGATAGTCATCAGTGGACTGCTTCATTGTTAAGGTCGTAGGTGACTTGCTGGTGGGAGGTGGAATCTGGCTGGAAGAGATGGCTCAGAGAAGACATGGTCATGTAGGGTTGAACTCCTTAGAGCTCCGTCCTTCACTCTCTCCCTCTCCTCACCCCAGCCTCCAAGTCATGAGCTCTTTCACCTCTGCTCCTTACAGGCATATCTCATCTTGTTCACTTTGATTTTCTTTTCTTCTTGGTAATATCTATCACTAACACCATAATCATTACGCCTTTATGAGCCTTAAAGCATATTCCTGTTAATGCTAGTGACATCATAGTAGACATCACCCTTGGGGACAGGCTTCTGAGCTCCAAATTCTCTCCCAAACAAACCTCTGCTGGAAAGGTAACTCCCTGTGTGCATCCACAGTAACATCTGATTGTCATAAATTGTCTTCAAGGGTAAGAAAGAAGTGTGGTTTGTGTATCATTGTTCAGAAGGTAGAAATGTGAGGAGACGGACAACATTTTGGGGTGATGGATGCCCCAGATCCTATGAATACAGAATATAGCAAAAGTGTTAGGAAAATGATGGGGAAAGAAACTGAATTTTAGCTGCTGCATTTTATTTTCAACTGCAAACCAATTTCTTTATGAAAATAAAACAGAAGATTTTAGTGTATGTAACCTCATGGTTCTTTAACACAGTTTTAAATCAATGTATATAATCTGTATTATTTAATCAACAGTTTATTCAAAAATTACATAATTGCATATACACATTTGTCAACTGAGTAAAGCTAATAATTATTAAGTAACCTTAGTGAGTGTTGTTGGTGTTCTCAACTTGAAACACATCATTTAACTAATCATTCCTTCAAACATTCAATATTTTTACCGGGAAACCATTCTACCTCTTCTATATGTACAATGCACCACTGTGATCATAGTAGTGAAAAGAAAATAGGGAAAGGGTTGGGTTTTTTTTTTTATCTTATTACTGTACAGGTCTGCAACACATTGTAAGCATAAAGTTCTTATTGTGGTCCCAAATTGAAATAGCACATATCGCCTAGAGGGTGGAGTGGAAGGAAGGTCAGAGACCACAACTGCCCAATCTGAATCTATGGAATCATTTTGAGACCCCTGAGGGCCAGGTGTTTCTAAAGATCAAGAGTTTAGGAGTTATAAGAGAACTTGCCAGTCTTCATGGAAGCCCAAGAGGTTTATATTTGTAATCTTGTGAAATGGTATAGGAGTTCTGGTGAGTTAATTCCAATTTACCTCTTTCCTTGCATCCCATAGCAAGAGAATCAAGGAGTCCTAGGTGCAGCTACAATGATAGCTAAGTGGAACAAATGTCTGCACCTAGGGCTGAACCCGAGTTGACCAATTCCTGAAGAAGGGAGAGGCTTGAGGATGAGTGACTGTGAGACTGGCAGGAAGCACATGAGAGCTATGTGCTGTGCTGGGTCTGAGGCCTGAAATCACCTCTGTGATTGGCAGAGAGAAGGATATGCAGAGAGAGTTATCTGCGTAACAGAGTTGAGGTACTATGTGATGTTTTGGGTCATTCTTCAGCTCTGATGTATATTCTTTTATGCCCTGGGAAGTCAGGGCCTTTTATCTCTAAGCTGATCACAGGCTCTAGTCTTGCGCAAAGCTTTCAATCCTATCTAGGGTCCCACGTGTTTTTTGGGAGTGTGAGGATGTAGGCAGTAGGGAAACACTGTCCTGCAGCCTTTCACTGTCTGTAGCTTTATCTGGTTCACATACAGGGCAGGGCAGCAGACATGGAAAATTGAGTTTATGAGAGGAGCAGCTAATTGTTACAGTCTCTCATGGAGTTTCCCACCAGTGCAGGGCATCCCTCACCTGGGCAGAGAGCGAGGTGGATTACAGGGAAGGTGTCTGAATCAGGTGCTCAGGAGCACTGCATCCTGAGAGCAGAGGAGAGGACAGAGTGTGCAGTTTCTCCTTTGTCCTCAAGACCCACTGGAGGACACTGAAAGGAACAACTTATGCTTCACTGTTTTCCCTCTCCCTTTTCTTTTGTTTTAACTTCTTTTGATTAAATTTTCATGATTATATTTGATAAGTAGAACGACTAATTTGAAGAAAGTAATATTTAATATAATACTCATTGATCAATTATCATTTTGATTAGTGAAATTCTGTAGCTTTTTAAATGTTTGTTTGTTTGTTTACTATTTTTTGTTCTCTTTTTAAAATCAAATTCCACCAGAGGAAGGTATTTGACCTTTACATATTTTCATCAGTTTGGGCTGTCTCCAGGTACAGGTAAGGGAACAAAGAGGATTTTACCTGGCTGAGATTGAGGAAGATCCCTATTGTTTCCTCTTCAATAAATTGATATTATGGATATTTATTATAAATAAAGTCATGTAATATGTGACCCCTTTAGTTGACTCCTTTCTCTAACTTTAGAATCGTTTGAGTGTCTGTACCTAATGTGAAATATCAAGATCCGGTAATACTTAGATTACTGTTAGCACTTTATTTGCAGAAGAGAGAAATAAATTGAAAGGGGCAGAGAAAAGAACTAAGAAATCATAAATATAAAGGGGAACAAGCTGAGATCTATTAGAAGGTATGAAGTGAAAACAAGATAGCAAGAAAGCATGGGGTTGCGGAGAGGAGGAGAGGAAAGAGATGGCTGTTTTTCTGTTTTTCATTTAGGGCAAATATGACAAAAAGAACTTGGTTTGTCTATGGTCAAATACAACAAATAGACTACTACAGCTTCAGTATTCAGGGGTAATTGCAGGGCTGGCACTTGACAACAAGTAAGAAGGTTCGAGGTTGCTTCTCGAGTACTTGTCTCTACAAGGTTCCTCACTGATCAAGCCTCTGTAACTGATACTCAGCACCATGTAATGCAGGATTACTGCAGGAGATTCACACAGTGGTAGAGATGGCAGAAGGATCAACTCCTTAACTAACTGCATGCTTGTGACAGGAGCAAATGAGTGCAAGTGTTCCCCAGGATCTTTGCCTTGTTCCACGGATAATTCATTGTTTAACAATGGAGGATGATATAGTGGAAAACTGTCTTAATGGTGGTGAAAAGGACTCTGGAGTTCAATTTGCATCTGCAATAAGTTTTTGCAGTTGAGACCCTCCCATCTCCTAATGTTTCTCATTGTATTCTTAGGAATATTCTAGGTCAAGTTTCTTTGAAGAAATTTGATTGCATGGCACAATTAACCCACCAATCTCTGCCTGCTCTCAGGACTGAATAAATCCACAAGGTGGAAAATAAAATGGAAAACAAGAGCATGAGTTAAAGCCAAGGGTTTGTGCTACTTTGGGAGGTGCAAGTGCAGGAAAAGCACACTGCAAAAGGGACATTCCTTGCCTATGTGTGTGACAGCCAGCAAAGTCCTTTCCTACCCTGTGCCTCAGCTCTGCCTTTTCACAACAGGTGTAACAGCGTCCCCTGCTGGTCTCAGATCTCAGTTTCTCAAGTACCTCTGACACTAAGAATCCTGATTTTGACATGTTAAGTTCTGTGTTTTTAATTCAAAGCACTGCTGCAAGAGTAAGAAAGAGGTATGTTGTGTAGGATTTAGATTTTCATGGTCAGTCATGTCCTCCAATCAGGGAAATACGAGTTTAACTTCACAGGGTTCATGTTACCCGATGTGTCATTATGACTGCCACGTGAGTTTGATTTTGTCTTGTGCCTGGTTTGACATCTGCAGTAGTTGACACACTGTACCAGCTTGGCTGAATGTCAGTTCTACACTCTGGTCTCCGGGACCCCACTCCTGAGAGCCTGCCCCAGAGTAACTCTGCACAAGAAGGGGATATAAACAGCTTGAGGAAGGTTTTGGTGTTCCACCTCCTCAGAGGAACTTCAGTCTTTGCAGTCAGCTTGGACTTCATCTCCTGGCTACCAGCG